TTGAATTATTAATACCATATTATGAGAATGAACATCAATCCTGATATAGAAGATCGCACCCTCCATGACATATGATCCACATAAATTAAATATAAACAAGGAATTTCCAAAAGAATCATTCCCAAAAGAGGAAATACGGCCACCAACAATTAAGAAGCGACAAACAAAGACAAACCAATAGGATAGCTGAATTACCTGTACAAGCAATTCTTACTTTTAACACCAAGAGCTAAATGTAAGATTCAATTGTCTAGGTATTTTGCTGGTTAATTGTATAAATAATTTCAGAGTTTCTATTTTGGTTGATTTATGATCTTCGGTTATTCTATAGTATAGAAATAGTAGTTCCATATTATATTTTCTATTGTGTCACTCATTGGTTAGTGTCTTCATATGGTTGGATCTTAATTATTTTTTTTTTGTACATTCCGATTATCTTCTTTTTGTTTTACGTGGTAATTAAATATTCTGTGTTGTATATGTGGGTATACGTCTTGTTGATTTATACGGTATACTTGGGGACTGCTTTCTAACAGTTTTAGTAGCTGTGTTCTCATAGTTCGTGGGAATATACATAAAAATCTTTCTTTCTGCACTTTCTTAATTTTTCTTTTTATTTCACTCAGGTATCTTGCTCGTTTATGGTGTTTTGTTATTTCACAGTTATACCATAGTAATGCTTTTTGTAACTGGTATGTTTTGCATTTCCTAAGGTCTTGTTCTAGTTCTTGCATTTCTAAATTTGTGTATGATCGTAATTGAGCTTGTTTTGGTTGATCCAAATAATAGTCCGATTTTGGTTGGTTCATTTGTATTTTCTTAATAGCTTTATACGCTATTACTGCATTGAATATTTTATCAAGATTGCTTCGCAAGTTTGGTACTAAGTTTAAGTTGATAGCTTGTTTTTTGTTATACCAATTCCAATAGTAATAGGATTTGGTTCTTCAGTTAATTTCTAATTCTCCTTCTGCATATGGGTATATATATGTGTGTATTATTGTTTCAGGATTTTCATACTTTCCTGGGAACTTGGTTATAGTTGCTTCTAGTAAGTATTCTTGTGCGATTAATTTGTTTAGTACTGTTTGTGTTTCTATTACTACAGTTGTTTCGAGGAAGGCTTCTGGTAGTTGAGATGTTGTTGCTCCATCAAATATAAATAAAATGCTTGTTTACTATCAAATCGTTGTCTCAATAATATTTTTGGTTCATTGGTATTTATGAATAAGACTACTGTTATTATATGTATCGCTTATATTTTGTATGTTATTTCTAATTAGTTCAGTCTGTGTTGATTTTT